CATTTAGGGTGAGGCTGTCGGCACAAATTTCCAGCATCTTTCGGCCTAAGCCCAAACTACTCCTTCATCATATCCGCAATCATATCGGCCCATGGTAGTTGCTGAGGTGCTCTTTGAGGTTGTTGTGGTATGGGCTCGAATTGATTGTATTGAGGAACAAACTGGGGTTGAGCCGATCCTCCCTGCTGATATTGAACTTGCGGTGATGGAGGCTGATACTGATAATTCAAATTGCCCCCTTGGTAATTTTGAAAATCTGGTTGAATATTACGCACCAAATGTTCAGGAACAACTTGAGGGATCACCGTTTGATCTGGCTGTACATGATGAACCAAGTGCTCTGGGACAACTTGATTCGCAGCATGCTGCCCTAGCTGACTGCCAGGTGTTGCAAACCCAGCCGATGCATTCATCAAGCCTTGCTGTTGAATCGGCTGAATGACCTGTTGCCTTGATGGCGTTTGCTGAACTGGTTGCAAAATCTGCCGTCTTGGTGGCATCTGCTGAATTGGCTGCACAACCTATTGGACTGGGAGTGTTTGTTGAATCGGCTATACCACCTGCTGTCTTGGTGGTGTTTGCTAAATCGGCTGCTGCTAGGTTGGACCAACAGTAGGTTGAGGAGGTGAGAACATACCTGCAACCTGATCTTGCGTTAGCTGATTCACATTCTGTCCACTATGCTGTGGTTGTTCTCTCACCAGCAATTGGGGATTAACTAATTGACTTGGTGCCGATGGTGGTGTAGCAGGTGCAGGAGCCGATACTGGTGCCGTCGGCTGAACTGATGGTGCATTAAGAGGAATTGATTGAACAACTGGCTGATTATCAGTGACTAATGGCCGATAATTCGGGAACACTCCTCCTGGTAGATAAACCGGTCCTGTAGCTTGATACTCAGCCATTGAACCATCAACCATTGTTTTCACCATGTCTGACAAAGTGTTGACTAATATTCTAGATTGATTGATCAAAGCATGGTACACAACATAGTCAACCTGATCTTGGAAGTTATTAAACTGTAACCGTACTGCATTGCCATCTTGATTAGGGCCTTCACCTTGAACTCTCTGAACACCATCACCTTGAGTTCCTTGAGAGCCAACACCCTGCACTCCTTGAGAACCATCACCTCAATTTCCTTGAAAGCCATCTCCAGCACCTTTATCACTCGGTTGAGCCGCACCATCTGGAGCTTGTTTCACTCCTCCATCCTTAGAAGAACCGGTCCCAGGAACATCAACATCTACATTTACTTTATACTTCTGCACAACTGTTCCCTTGCGGGTTTGCATGAATGAGTTCAAGAATAGGTTCCGTGCTTACTTCATCATTGCTTCAAGATCCTTCTGCTGATCAGGTGTCAACTTGTCCGGAGTGATATTCACGATATTGTCTTCATCAACTTCAGATAGACCCAACTTCTGCATCTTAGCTTTAACAGAGCCAAGTTCACCAGCCGAAGACGGCGATGGTGGTGCTTTCTCATCTATGAGGAAAACTGTTGACTTCTAATCTGTCCCACCGGGCGTGCCAAAAGCGTGTTGATGAAAAACATGAGGCCTGGGAGATCTGCTTAACTCCAGTGCAGGTCCAAAACTCGCCTTCGGGTGTGCTAGCGTGCCAATTGATTTGATACTGCAATCAACAAGAAATAAAGACAAAGAAACCGTGGTTAAATACATAAACGATAGCCGATCGGCTAAGTGCCGATGACATATCATTTATCTTTGAGCCGATGTCATATATACACCGATCGACAGTTATAAATAGATAATAAAGAACTAAATCTACTCGATCGGCTGTAGATATTAACAATATATAATCCTTATGTCGATATATACTTAAATCAAGTGATTGGGATAGATCGGTCGCCATGCGGAGACAGTATAAATCACTTAGATTGAAATATATACTAACAACAAGACTATATATGTTCATAGCATAGCCGATCAGATAGATCTAGCATGTATCGGCTAATACTCCGATACCACTCTATGTTAAGATATTAGAGCAAGCAGAATATACTAAACAAAAGCCTAATATACTTAAATGCAATAAGATATTGACATAAAGGGCAGATTTAACATGTCAGTAAAGCATATAAAGCAAATATAGTTAAATCAGGTCAGATCGGCTGAAACCTCGATACTACCCTAATCGGCAACCAAGAAGCAGGCTAGAGATTGAGATTCTAATCACGACTCATAAGATCAAACAACTGATGCAACTATAAGTATGAAAAGAAGGACAATATCTAGACAATCAAGCCATTGGAAGTTTCATAGAGTGGTGGATATCGTATATAAACTAAGCCAACGTTGATATTTAACCTAATCGGCTGCCCTCTATTGATAGATGTTAGCCGATTGTAGGTTAGATAGCAATATTGCAAAGATTATATAAAATATATGATAACTCGACGAATTACATAAACAAGATTAGAGTATCATAAAGATGGAAGCACTAATCCCGAGAACGCAAGTCGTCATAACAAGTTTTACCTCTTGTTGAAGATCGAAACCGATGCAGCTCAACCCGAAAGCAAGAACTCGTCGAAATAAACTAAAGCAAAAAGGGTAGCGATGCGCCGAGATTGTATTGAACGTGTGTTAATTAATTACACGGGGTTCGGGGTCTATTTATACCCGAGAATTAGAAACTATGTCCATATCGGACACGACTCTTATCTCTAACAAACTCTAAGATACCATAAGTCTTTGCAGCAGACTTTTGCCAAACATATATCTAAAGAAATTACATAAAATATCCTAATTAATGGATACAATTGCCTACTCAGGACTCTATCCATGCGTGGCAATCATCTTGAAGCATATCAACTCGACCCGATGTCGTACACCAAGTCGTATTGTCGGAATCAGCTGTATCACTTATCCCAGTCTGACTCGGACTTAGCCAATCCCAATTGTAGCCGATTCGGACTACAGCCGATTCTTACTCTATTTCCGTGACAATCCTCATCTTCGGTTCCGCTTCGATCTAATCTTCTTTTCCGATGCTGATATTACCAAATTTGGTCATTAACAACACATTCAATAAAATCTCAGCGCATCGCCACCCTTTTACTTTCGTTTACTTTTGACGAGTTCTTGCTTTCGAGTTGAGTTGCATCGGTTTCGATCTTCAACTAGAGGTAAAACTTGATATGGCGGCTTGCGTTCTCGGGATTAGTGCTTCCATCTTTATGATACTCTAATTTTGTTTATGTAATTCGTCGAGTTATCATATATCTTATATAATCTTCGACAATACTGCTACTTAACTTTCAATCGGCTAACTTCTATCATTGGAAGGCAGCCGATTAGGTTAAATATCAATGCTGACTTAAATTATATAGGATATCTACCACCCTATGAAACATTCAATGGCTTGATTGTCTAGATATTGTCCTTCTTTTCATACTTATAGCTGCATCAGTTGAGTTTGACCTTATAAGTTGTGATTAGAATCTTAATCTCTAGCCTGTCTTTGGTTGCCGATTAGGGTAGCATCGGGGTTTCAGCCGATCTTACCTGATTTAGCCTTATATCTTATGTGCTTAATTGACATGCTAGATCTGCCATTTATATTAAGATCTTGTTGCATCTAGGTATATTACACTTCCTGTTTGATATATTTTGATTGCTTTAATATCTTAATATTGAGTGGTATCGGAGTATAGCCGATACATGCTAGATCTATCTGATCGGCTATATTATGAACGCTTATAATGTTCTTGTTAATATATATTTCGATCTAAGTGGTTTATACTGTCTCGGCATGACGACCGATCTATTCCAATCATTTGATTTAAGTATATATCGACATAAGGATTATATACTGTTAATATCTACAGTCGATCGAATAGATTTAGTTCTTTCTTGCTTATTTATGACTGCCGATCGACTCAAATATGACATCGGCTCAAAGATAAATGATATGTCATCAGTGACTGGCCGATCGGCTATCGTTTATAGATTTAACCGCTATCTTTTTGTCTTTGTTTCTTGTTGATTGCAGGATCAAATCAACTGGCACGCTCACGAACTTAAAGGCAAGATTTTTGGACCTGCACTGAAGTTAAGCAGATCTTCCAGGCCTCGTGTTTTTCGCATCAACAGTAATCCTCGACGTCCACGTGGAAGCAGATGGCGAGGGAACTTAATGGTGGTTCGGCTGAACCTTGGCCTACCCCTCAACCTGTGTGCTTCCTCCAGGGCCTTGATATTTGCCTCGCTAGCCCAATGGTGTGTTGATTGGGTCCATTTTCTGATGTTTCGATGAGTTTATAAGCCTAAATCTTCTATGGATGGTATTCTCCTCCATTTTTATTGTATTTCATCTCAACTTTGGTGGTTTATTACCTGTGTACAATTATTTACCAATACTCGTGGAAATTGTTAGAAGTAAGCCCTACCACTATATGTCTATAGCCGCATGCCGCCGCTCCTGGTGAGGAGAGGATAGGGATTGAGAAAAGGAGATTGGGCATTGTGGAGGGAAGAGGATAAGAGAGGAGTGGAGTGGACAGGAGTGGAGAGAGTAGAGAAGAGGATAAGGATGGTGGGCTGGTGGCTGGCGAGCATCTTAACAGGCTCGCCTACGAAAATTGATTTTCTCGTGGGGTACTTGAACCACCCTCGGGGCAGAAATTTTTGCATATGGAGGTAATTATGGTCCGCCTGTAATTTAGAGGGGTCTCGTCCAGACAAATCGATTATGTAGAAGTGTAAATGATGTTTTAAATTTGTTGTCTTGATGTTTACTTTTCGGACCAGGTCATATAGATGAAAGAGGTTGCAAAAAAGTGACAGCCATTTTATACTAAAATTAGCCAACATGAGTATGAGCTTTTCTTAGTCAGTTTCTACCTGTGTGCTGGTCCACACAATCGAATGGAATGACAGGTACCAAAATAAATGATACGCACAGCAGCTGTTCCCGCCAAATGCTCCCATGCGCCCGTCTTCAACGGCCACAACACATTGGTCAAGCTCCCTTGGCCCCTTATTCCCCCAAACAAACATCCTCTTCGAGGTGGAGATTGCAGAGGCATACACACCTCTGTTCTCCCTCCTTTGCTTCGTTCCCATACCAATTAATCAACCACTTTCACCTCCACATGGCCTAAGAAGCCATAATCTTCTATTGACGTCTGCATTTGCACGGCGGTCGCCAGCGATTGGGCACGACGGGCATGGCGTCCCGCCGGCATGTCCTGATTGCTGCACTTATTATGGTTGGGGTTCTCGAATTCGCCAACGCAGACAAATACAAGCCAACTGAGTCCATACTTGTGAACTGTGGTTCAGACAAGGAGGGCCAGGACATCGACGGCAGAAAATGGCTTTCTGATAAGGACAGTAAGTGGCTCATCGACGGCGAGAAGTCATCTATCATGGCAAATGCAGATTTCCAAGATCCCTCCCTCCCATCGCCGGTGCCGTATATGACGGCGCGGGTGTTCACCAAGGAGACCATGTACAACTTCTCCGTTGGGGAGGAGCGCCACTGGGTTAGGTTACACTTCTACCCTGCGTCCTACCACGATCTGCCCGCCGAGAACTTCTTCTTCTCGGTGTCTACATCCACCGGCATCACGCTGCTAAAGAATTTCAGCGTGTACATCACCGCCAAAGCGCTCAGCCAGGCGTACATCATCAGGGAGTTCACACTCCCACCATCAACAACTGGCTCCTTGTCGCTGATCTTCACACCCACGGCGATGAACAATGCGTCCTACGCCTTTGTCAATGGCATTGAGATCATCTCGATGCCCAACATCTTCAGCCAAGCAGCAGCGAGTGTTGATATCGCCGGCAACGAGGTGAGCACCACTGACAGCAGCCTGCAGACTATATACCGCCTCAACGTCGGTGGTTCATACGTGGCTCCGACAAATGATTCTGGGCTGTCACGTGACTGGTACGACGACACGCCATATATCTATGGTGCCGCAGTGGGTGTGACCTACCAGGCTAATGACACTGTCCAGATCAAGTACCCTAAAAATGACCCTGATGCAGAGTACGCTGCACCGGCAAGCGTATACCTCACCAGCCGATCAATGGGGCCTGACCCGAAGGTGAACAAGAACTACAAATTGACGTGGGTGTTCGAGGTGGATGGCAACTTCACCTACATCGTCAGGCTCCACTTTTGTGAGCTACTGCTCTCCAAGCCGAACCAGCGGGTGTTCGACATCCTGATCAATAACAAAACCGCCCAGTCCGGGGCCGATGTCATCGGGTGGGGAGGTCAATTTGTTCCAGTCTATAAGGACTACGCCACAATCATGCCTGGTGGTGCTGGTGACAAGGTCCTGTGGGTACAGCTGATGCCTAACGTTGGGAGTGGGTCAGAGTTCTTCGATTCTCTTCTCAATGGACTGGAGATCTTCAAGATGAGCGACTCTTCTGGCAACCTGGCCGGTCCGAATCCCGACCCTTCCAAGTTGCTTGAGGAAGCTGAGTCCTCAGCTCAAGGGAAGTTCAAGTCCAAGCCTAGCAACCTCAAGGCCACCGTGATCGGCGGTGCTGCAGGTGGCGCTGCCGCGTTTGGGATTGTTGCGGCCATCTGCATCGTGGTGTATCAATCAAAGAAGAGGAAGGTGCTAAATAACAGTGCATCCCACTCATCTGGATGGCTGCCAGTGTATGGTGGTAACTCGCACACAAGCACCAGCAAATCGTCTGGTGGCAGAAGCGCCGCCCTGATCAACCCAAACATCACGGCCATGTGCCGGCACTTCTCATTTGGAGAGATCAAGTCAGCAACGAAGAACTTTGATGAATCACTGGTGATTGGAGTTGGTGGGTTTGGGAAGGTGTATCGGGGTGTGGTTGACGGTGACACCAAGGTGGCTATCAAGCGGAGCAACCCGTCGTCGGAGCAGGGCGTGCTGGAGTTCCAGACTGAGATCGAGATGCTGTCCAAGCTGCGACACAAGCACCTTGTCTCGCTCATCGGCTGCTGCGAGGACGAGGGCGAGATGATCCTCGTGTATGACTACATGGCGCACGGCACGCTCCGTGAGCACCTGTACAAGGGTGGTAAGCCGGCTCTGTCATGGAAGCAACGGCTCGAGATCACAATTGGCGCCGCTCGTGGACTTCACTACCTTCACACCGGTGCCAAGTACACCATCATCCATCGTGACGTCAAGACGACCAATATCCTCGTCGACGAGAAGTGGGTCGCCAAGGTCTCTGATTTTGGCCTGTCCAAGACTGGCCCGACGGCCATGAACCAGACCCATGTCAGCACCATGGTCAAAGGAAGCTTCGGATACCTCGACCCAGAGTACTTCCGGCGGCAGCAGCTCACGGAGAAGTCCGACGTCTACTCGTTCGGTGTCGTGTTGTTCGAGGTTCTGTGTGCACGGCCTGCTTTGAACCCGAGCCTTCCACGGGAGCAGGTCAGCCTCGCCGACCACGCCATGAGCTGCCAGAGGAAAGGAACCCTTCATGACATCATCGACCCGTTGCTAAACGGCAAGATCGCACCTGACTGCCTGAAGAAGTTCGCCGAAACGGCAGAGAAGTGCCTGGCCGACCATGGCGTGGACCGCCCGTCCATGGGCGACGTCCTTTGGAACCTTGAGTTCGCGTTGCAGATGCAGGAGACATTTGAGAACGGCGGGAAGACGGAGGGAGCAGACAGCACGAGCGACAGCACCACCACTTCTGTGGCGGACAGCATGGCTGCCAACGCCGCAGCGCTGTCGCTGATCAGCGAGGATATGGACGAGGAGGACATCGCTAACAGCGTGGTGTTCTCGCAGCTCGTCCGCCCAACTGGCAGGTGAGATGGATCGATCGATGGGCATGGGAACGAGTTGTATTATTCGGCGGGGATGGTAGGTGGAACAGGCCATGCGTGCATACCGTTTGTTTGGGACTGGGATCGATTTACTGGTGTTGAACTGTTCGTATGTACGTAACATGGGAGATCAGGATATGTGTACATGTGTTGCATTATTCTTGATTTATTATTTGATTCCATTCTAGTTGTCTTACACTGGTCAGTTGTGAAAAAAGAGAGAAGAAAAGTTAAACCGCTAGTTTTTTTTTTATTTGAGAACAAAACAGCTAGTTCAGAATTCAGATTGCAGGTCAAAGGCTACTGTGCTTGGATAAGAGAGAAACTGGGGATTGTCTGTATATATTTTGCCATTTTTTTCTCCATCAACGTCAGTTTTTTTTCTTATAAACTTCTACTATGGTTGTGTTTAGTTCAGCGCAAAGTTTAGATTTTGTTTACTAAAAAGTTATGTGTGTATGATATGTTGATGTGCTGAAAAATGACTGAAATTTAGATCCAAACTTTGGATCTAAACACAGCCTATATGCATAGTGTGCACGCTGCCAAATATAGGGAAAGAGAGAGATAGAAGAGAGATTTTAGAGCTGGTCAATCCAGAGCAATTGTTATGCGGGTCTATCAAGAAATCCATTATAATTTTTTTGGGTTAAAAATATTTAGTTATAATTATAATATAATTATATGATGAATTACCAAATGAGTGGATACATACGAAAGAATGGCTGGTGTTATGATCATCTACATTATAGTCACTGAGTCGTCATCTGACTTATGCAACTCACGTAGCATTGATTCTATGTAATTGGGCGCTGCTATATACTATACCGGAGTTACATTGTCCTGTTTCGATCTCCAGCTCCTCTGCGCAAGGCCACGATTTTATTCCACCCTGCTTAGCATGGATCTCTCTGAGCGCAACAATCGAAAGTTTTCAAAATAAAAAATGTCGCTGGTATTTTTAGCAGAACCGTTATTATGCAGTTGCTTGATGTGAGGCAAGGTGAAAAATGTAGGGATACGCGTAGGTTACGATAGCATAAATCAAAATTTTTCTACCGTGTAAACCAGGAACCATACAAGTATTAGATCATAAATCGTTACCACTCGACGCGCTGCGCAGCGGAAGACGATGCTAAGAAGTCGAAGGAACACTCGCGAAGTAGCGCGCGTAGATGTAGAGGAAGTAGTCGATCGCACCGGCTCGAACTTCTCCTCCTCGTGCGTTCTTGTCATCGTACTCTCACGCCAATCAGCACCGCGCAACGCCTCTACCGGGATATATCCACATGTACAAACATGGAACGCCACACGCAGATGTGCTAGCACACACGCGCGGCTAGGGTTTTGCTCGGGAAGGGAGTGGCGGCTAGGGTTTCTCACGTGATGCAATACCTCCGCCGGTCACATCTGTCACGAATATATTGGATCCATCACTCGGGCCTCCAAGGCCCGTAGGACTCCTGTTCGGATCCCTATCCGAATTAAGCTCATATTGGATCTCCATCCAATCCCCTTATTCCGGCCCATTAAGCGTGCGAGCCTGTAGGTTCATGTACACTCGGCTATAACCCGAAAACTCCTTTTCGGTTCACGCGTCAACAGCGGCCCCTAGCAGAACGTATTGACCCACCAGGCATACATAAAGATCATATCGGCTGAACCTCTAGTGTATACTTGTATGAACCCCTTTGCCTCACGATATCGATTAAGCTCAAGGATAGATATGTGCCATCCTCTAATAGCTCAATCATTCACTCGAACCTGTGATAGATTATATAACTTGTGATTGACTCAATCACCTTTGGCATGGCCATGCACATGCATAATCTACAACATCGAGGGGTCCAGAGATATCTCTCCATAGGAGGGGCAAATCCCATCTTGATTATTCATATCCCACTACATGTTTCATAGCATACCCGAAAACTACTTTTACAACTACCCAATTACGGAGTAGCGTTTAGCAGTCCCTAAGTAAGCTACTACACATGTTGGGAACCATAATAATCTCAGGTCTAAGGATTCAACACCAACACTAAATGAGATCACTGATGACACAACACATATGGCTCTTGCAGTGTTTCATGTTGGGTCTATCCAACAACATGTGTCCACATTATTAATTTGGTATCTATATACCATGATCCATGAGACATGATCATCAATTAATACATGTGCTGATCATCTAAATATATTTGTTCCACATATGATATTTGATCAGGGATCCTTTAGAAATAGCAACATGCAACATAAAGAGTCTCATAAAAGAATCATATATTCATTAACCAATAATGAGTTATCTATTTTAAGGAACAAAGTCGGATAAATATGTAAACATAGTATGTGATACAATCATCTCTATGATTACCTCTAGGGCATATCACTAACAGAAAATGTGTGGCGGTATCTTTACTTGATAAATGAGTATGCATTACCTCCTTTTTCATTTTTATTTTGTCTTTTAATGTGAATACTTCATACCTGTAATATAAAGTTAAAATCTAAATCGAGAGACCTCTCTATTTAGTCTTAATGGAAGACATTACATACAACAAAAAAGTACTACTACACATGCATCTCTTCTTAGCTATTATGTCATACATATCCTTTTTCCCTTCTTACAATTTTTCTCTTAAACTACTTTGGCTGAGTTCGCGAGTGAGGGTCCCAACCCTCACTCCCTAGGACGCAAAACGAAATAGCGTTTAGCGCATGATTAATTAAGTATTAGCTAAAATAATTTTGAAAAATGGACTAATATGATTTTTTTAAAGTAACTTTCCTATTGAAAATTTTTGCAAAAAATGCACAGTTTGGTAGTTTGAAAAACGTGCGCACGGAAAACGAGGGAGGTGAGTTGGGAAAGTAGAGATAAGAACTCAGCCTCATCTGATATACAATCCGATTACACCATTGCGTTCGTTGCAATAAAATCTTTATAATAAGATCTAACATGACTATATATGTAAATTACTTTTATTATATATGCATGTTACTTTTATCGTATATATAAATTATAGATTTGATTAAATTACTTCTTATACATTCATAATGCTCTGAGTTGATTACTTTTATTATTGTTTTAGTCAATTCCATAATTTGTGTTGATTAAATTTAATTTCTAGATAGGCTCATGTTTTTATCTATACATCTGATTTACTTCTAATGTTTTAACAACTTACTCCCATTTTGTACTAAGTTACTTTTATGATTTTCTTAAAATTACTTTCAAACCTTACGGAATTTACTTTCATAAATGTATTTAGTTGAAAATCTTCTCTACACATTTTTTGGTGAATTTACTCCACATAGTTTGTTACTTCAACTCAGTCATAATGTAATTACTTGTGTTATAGAGAGTTACTTCTGTTGCATATCTAAGTTACTTCTACAATTTAAATAAATTATTTTAAATTAATAAAGGTTGGATTACATTCAACGTGGATCTCGTTTTTTCACATGTTTTAAGTAGAGTACAATGATGCAAATAGATCTTAAAAATAATGTGTGATTTTAAATAGATCTTAAAAAAAAACTTGTCATGGCGGTTTGCGTTCTCGGGATTAGTGCTTCCGTCTTTATGACCCTCTAATCTTGTTTATGTAATTCGTCGAGTTATCACATACACTTCGTAATCTCTGATAAGTTGCGTTATATAACTTGTCATCGGCTGGTTCTTACTGTTAGGAAGTAACCGATAGAGTTATGTTTTGTTATTAACTTAGATTATATTGTGTATCTACCATCTCTTAGAGGTTTTCATCATCTTGCCTAGATTTTATACTTCTCTTTATGCTTAATGCTGCATCGGTTGAGTTCGATCTATTAAGTAATATCTTTAATTATGATATCTGGCTTGTTTTATGATTATCGAGAGAGATAGCATCAGGGTTTCAGCCGATCTTACCTGATTTAGCTACTTTATATCTCATCCGCTTGATTGATATGCTAGGTCTGCCATTTATATTAAGATCTTATTGCATTAAGGTATATTAGGCTTCTTGTTTAATATATTATGCATGTTTTGATATCTTAGTATAAAGTGGTATCGGAGTATTAGCCGATACATCCTAGATTTATCTAATCGGCTATGCTAAAAATGTCTATATAATCATTGATTTAATGTATACTTCGACTTAAGTGATTTATATAGTCTCGGCATGGTGACCGATCTATCCCAATCACTTAGTTTAAGTATACGTCGAAAGAATGATTATATGTCGTTAATATCTACAGCCGAACGAGTAGATTTAGTTTTATCTTATTTATTTATAACTGCCGATCAATTTCACTATGACATCGGCCTGAAGATAAATGATATGTCATCGGCAACTAGCCGATCAACTATCGTTTATAGATTTAACCGCGGTTTTTCTTGTCTTTCTTTCTTGTTGATTGCACTGGCACGCTCACGAACCAAAAAGCAAGATTTTGGACCTGCACTGAAATTAAGCAGAGATTAGCCTTGTGAGCTTAATCATTCATCTGCAATTTTGGTTATATTCATTCTTGTTCTTGTTTTTGTTGTTCAATTCGCAAACAGGGATTAGCCTTCTTAGCGAGATCAACTACATTTCGACACGGTTGATAACCAGAGGAGAATTGGTGCTGCGATTGGGGCTCAAGAGCGTGTTTGCTCAAGAAGTCGGATCGATTTGTGTTGCGACTCCACCTAAATCAACTGTCTATCAGAACCTTTCGGAAGATCGGAAACCCTAGTCCACATCGCGTGCTGCCAGCGCCTCCGCCCTCCCTATCTTGCGCGTGAGAAACAGGAAGAAGGAAGCAGAGAAAGAAGCGAGAGAGAGAGAGATGGACAGAGAACGGTGAGGATGAAATCGAGGGAGGAGAAAGGGATAAGAGAGAGAGAAATAAAATAAAAAGAAAGGAAAAGAGAAAAGAGGTGGGGCCCACTAGTGGGACCCACATTCTAGGCTCTTCCTCCATGAGCACTCTCTCCATATAAGTCTATTTTACCTCCCTCTAGTTTTCTGTCTAAGCCTAAGACATCCATTCCTTATTAAAGTCTATATTACACCCCTACACTTTTGGCTGAGCCCGAGGGGTGGATGCCTCTATAGAAGTCCATAGGACGCCCTTCATCTAACCCTCGGGCAGAGCCCATCAGCAACCTCCTCCCTCTACCTAAAGTCTATATCGTGTCCCACTACAACCCAAAGGCTCTCTATAACACCTCCCCACCCGAGTTCTTCCTCCTCAGTTTATAAATCCTTCCAAACTTTGAAAA